TGACCCATTGAAAGGGATCAAAATCATTAATAGTAGTTTAGATTGATAACAAGTTAAATTGTCTAGCAACACCAACACATAACACCAAAAGAATACTTCCCATCATTTCGATGTGCTAGATCGATTTGGCGAACCAATTATGTGCATTCAGGAAACCATAATTGTTTCCAAGGGAGTTCTTATACCTATTACATGACAACCAAATGCATCAATAAATTTGAACCAATTATATGTAAAGGGTCACAATCCAAGGGACCAATGCACCAATGACACATTGACCAGTCGAATTTTTTGCCTCATGAGTTTCAAATTTCAATGTTCTAAAGTGATAGATAAGTTTCATATCTTTTTAGTTCTGAAAGGGGAGGGGCCTTAGGGAAAGAGGGATAAAGCAATGTTCTTAGTTTGATGGAAAATTTCATTATTAAAAGAAAGATGAACAGCATATTTAGAACCCATTTTGTGAAAGAAAAAAAAATAAAAAAGAGTCCAAGGAAAGGACCATGCTTGCTAGTTGCTCTAACACCGCGGGCCTTATAGGCTAGTGGCAGCCTTTATGTTACTTTCTCATATATCTTGAAGGGTGGTCAGTTTAAAAAGTTTCATATTTAGAGCAATTGGTCATGGATAAGTAAATGCACATAATATATAGTTGAGTTGCTCACCCATAAATTCACATGAATTGTTGGCATGACATTAATGTTTGCTTCCAATACACTTCAATTATTAAGACACTCAATCAATCACAGGTCTTACTTTATGGCTGAGTAACATGCAATTCAGGTGAGCAGTTATTAATTTTCAGCTATGAAGTCCCAATTCTTTTTATTTGAAACAAATATGGCTATAAATCCTGTTAGACAGCCCACATAATCTGGCTTTTATGATATATATATTCTCTTAGGCCATCTCCAACCTAAATGGGGCTAAACCCAAATTTCTCCCCTTAGAAATACAACTATTCATGTATTGTCTAGACTCAAATTGTTTTTTCCTCCAACCATGCATGCTCATAATTTAAGTCCATAACTTTATTAAATTGTTTAAAAATGATTAACCTCTAATATATATTTTTGGTTAATTTTTCTTCACATTATTTTTATTTCAACATTCATGATTTAATTTTCTGAACATTTTAACCTAAAAAAATCCAAAATCCAAAATATAATATAATTTCACTTAAAAATCAAAACATATTAAGATAAACCATAATAACAATTAAGATAAATGATAATCACAAAATTATTTTGGGTTGAATTTGATTTAGTGCCAGTTTGGCATTGCTTATTTGGGGTGATAAGTGATTTTTTTAAAATTTTGAGAAGCACAACCTGTTTGGTAAACTGTGAGAAAATAACTTATTGTTAAAAATTGCTGTGAGAGAAAGTTATAAGGGAAAGCAGCTAATGATGTGCTTTCATTTTCTAATTATGCAGAAATCAGTTTCGAAGAGGCACTGGGTTTAATAATTATGCGGCAATCATTTTCTGATTATGTGTAAAATCAATATCAACAACACTTTTAACAAAAATTTTACCAAACGCCAAATTGCTTTCTATCATAACTGATTTCTCTCACAGAAAATCTGATAGAGATTATTTTCACAGCACAACAATGCCAAACTGGCCCTTAGAGTAATTATAAAAATTAATTTTGCCGTTGGATTTAAATTTCAGTAATTGGATGTGAATTTTTTCCATTGAGATTGCTTAAAAATATGCTGGCCATTGATTATATGTAGAATGAAAAAAAAACCAAAAAGAAAAAAATGACACAGCAACTTAATGCAGCCATTGGATTGAAACAAATAATTGTTCTGGGCTTGACAAGTGGCGCAAGCAGCATGGGTAAGTTGGCAACAGGTGGTCCATGTAGCTAGGGTCTTCATGTGGCTCCTTGGTTTGATGAGAGTTGGGCCCCACAGCAATTCCGCCTGGACTGGAAAGCTGGGCCAAATGCTGCCCAAGATTTCAGTCTGCCTAAAATTCCACCCCTTCCCTATACATGCGTTGGAGGTGAGATGGGGCCAAATTTTGAGAATTTTTTTGGATATAGCCTCAGGGTTGGAGAAGGCCATGAGGGGTTAAACCCAAATTTCCTCCCTCCAAAAAGTGATTATTTGGGTTTTGCCCGGACTCAAATTATTTTTTCTCCCAACCTTACGGACTCAAATTTTAGGTCCGCAACTTTATTAAATTGTTTAAGAATGGTTTAAGTCTATTTTTTTTTTTATGGATAACTTTTCTTCATTTAATCTTTTTAAATAACATCATAATTTAATTTTTTGAACAATTTGACCTAAAAAAAATTGAAATTCCATAAATTTAATTTTATTCCAAAAGTAAACACACTACATAAAAAAAAAAACACATAACATAAAAAAATAATTGACCTATTTTAATTTACCGTTAAAATAGCTTAGATTTAATCTAGATGATTAATTTAAAGTTATTATTAGATTTTTATATATATATAAAAAAAAAAAAAAAAAAAAAAAAAAAAAGATTCTTTGAAGCCCAATGGCTCTTTGAGCTGGAAACACAGTGCCTGTGGGCCCCAGCAATACTATTTGATTTATAAAAATAAAAAAAAATAAAAAAAAGTAAATAGCCCAAGCCCAACGGCTCATTGTTGTAGTGCTGACACGTGGCTTTAGCCACAGCTCCAACCCATCAGAAAATGTCACCAACACGAGTCCTGCCAATTTTCAGAAGCACATGGGCTTTGCAACCTCAGCGTGGGGTCCAATGAATAGTATTGGGTCCAGGCAATACTTGGACCCATATTTGGGTCCAAATTTGAGTTTTCCCAAATTTTGGGTCCTTCCTTTTCTTGGGTTGGGAGAGGTTTGAGTCCAAGGGTTGGAGATGGCCTTAGAACATCCATAATGAGTTATTTAAACCACCTCTTTGGACAAATCTTATGGAGGAATTGGAAAAATACAACTCCAACAATACTCCTTATCCACCTCCTAAAATAAGGAGACCTCTAGAAGCTCATAAATCAGAGGAGAGAGAAAGGACTCCTAGTGGCTCCCTATAATTTAATGATGCTTTATTTAATGAATATTTCAAACCTTTAATTAATGCTAAATAGTTTTTATATTAATTTTTTAATAGAGATTGACCAATTAAAAAAGAGTTATAGCATTTATGACTCCATAAACTAGAAAGCACGATTGGAGTTTAAATTTTATAGAGAGCTCCTAAAATAACTTTTATGTGTTTTTAGCTAAAATTTAACTAAAAAATAGAAAGTATGATTGTGGATGCTAGTCAACGCTCTTAATTTTATACTGCTGTATATTGAGGATCTATGTTTATTTCCCTTTTTGATTCCTCGATGTATTATATAAATTTTCTCCTTGAGAGATGAATATTCATGCAAAAATTCTCAACTTCAACATGGTATCAGAGCAAAGATCCTCTGTCTCTGCCCTCATCTTCCCCTTCTCCCTCTAAGCTTGCTGCCTAGAAATTCCTCCACCGTTGACTCCAATCAAGAGTATTTTTCTATCTCGTACTCAAATTTGGCCTATCTAAAAGGCCCAGTCATCGTCGTCCTTTGGTTTTCAGCAGATTACGCCAGAATCGTCAACTACAACTGCATCGCCACCGTTGTTTGTTGTTTGATCGAGCTGATTTTTCTCCTTTCTACTCAAATCGAGTCGATCCACAAAGCCTATTCTTGTCGATGCCACTTTCTAGCACCGCTACTTTCTCTCTTATTCATCTGTAACTTCACTAGTTCTTCAAATATGTTTCATATGGCTCAAGGTTTTGGTTTGTCAACTGTGTCATGGAACTGGTCACATAGCTCTTATGTGTCCAACTTTGTGTCATGTGGCCTGTGCTAGTCTCAAGCTTGTTGGCCCTACCCCCACCTTCTTCTCATGTGCCTTACTATGACACTGTTGTTAAGCTCATAATTTCATACATATACATGCCTTATTTACTTAGTCCTTTTGCTTAGTTTATTAGCATTCTGAGTCATTTACCTCTTTGTGTGTTTTGTAGGTCAATAGAGCAAAACAGTATAATTCATGCAATTTAAGCATGTTAAGGCCTGATTTAGATGAATGGAAGAAGAGCTTAAAGACAAACCTAATTTGGGCTACACTCCCTTGTAAGTCCAGTTTCGTTGGTCACGTTGTAGTCCTTATTTCAACGACCTACACCGCTCGGATGAGGAGACATCCATCATGGACATTATTTCAATGGGTGTCCATTATAACATATCCAAAATGCAGCCTAATTGGATAAATCTGGAGTCCGTCACCCATCAAATACTGAATCATGCTCAGGAGGACGTTTATCTGTAGCTGCCAAAACTAAAGACTAAGTTAGCAATTCATTTCAGACTTAAATTCTTCATCCGAACTTGGATTAGCCTAAATGACATATGGTTGGAAAGATAACATTCTGAACTTCAAAATGGAGGGCTGAAAGTCATCATTTGCTTAAGGGAAGCCCAATTCGTGAGCCTATGAAGTTGATGGTCAGTCTGACCTTAAACACGAGTTAATTGTTGCTTGGTCATTCTGAACTAAGCATGAAGTGATTTCTGATGGTGGGGAAGTTAGGTGAGCTAATCCAAGTGGAGTTTTCCAATAGCCACAAGAAATAAAGAAGATTAAGTGGGTGTTGTTGGTGAACTAATTTTAAATGCAATTGTGTGTTAGGTGAAGTAGGTATAGTTGATGAACTTAATTGTAAAATCTAATTCACCTAACCCTTATGCCTATAAATATAAAGTCTTGAAGGAGCTGAGAGATATTCATTCATATTTATTCAGATTTCATCACATTGTACACAAAGAGATGAAGAGTTGAGAGCCACAAAGGGAAAGAAGAGAGAAGGCAACAGCTGAGAGGCTTCAACCTCTTGGCAGCCATGAAGATGAAGCTTTTCCATCTCTAGCATGTTGTAACGAATGGCTCGTGAACTTGTAAGAATACGTAATTCATGCAATTCAAGCATTTTAAGGCCTAATTTAGATGAATGGAAGAAGAGCTTAAAGACAAACCGAATTTGGGCTACACTTCCTTGTTAGTCCAGTTTCTTTATGGCTATTTGGATACTACGGTCTTTATGGCTCAACCTCAGGGTTTTGTTGATACAGCTTGTCCCACTCATGTATGTCAGCTTTAAAATTCCATATATGGTCTCAAACAGGCTCATCGTGCTTGGATCTAATGTCTTAGTGGGTTTTTACTTCAGTTTGGGTTTCTTTAGATTTGGGCCGATGCCTCACTGTTCATATTTCGCCAGTCTTCTGACATTATGATTCTCTTGTTATACGTGGATGACATTGTTCTAACTGGCAACCAAACCTCTCTTCTATCATCCTTTGTAGCCACCCTTGGTAAGGAGTTTGAGCTTAATGATCTTGGCCCCTTATCTTACTTTTTGGGACTTGAGGCTAATTCCACATCATTTGGCCTCCATATTTTGCAAACTAAGTATATTGTTGATCTTCTCAAACGACATTCCATGATTGATTGTAAGCCATGCACTACACCAGTTTGTGGCTCTTTTCAAATGTCTTCCCTTGAGGGTCAGTTGCTTTCTGATGCTACTGAATACCGCCATCTTGTGGAATCTATTTAGTATCTCACGTTCACTAGGCCAGACATCTCCTTTGTTGTTAATCATGTTACTCAATTTATGAGTACACCTCGTTCTCCACATTTGGTTGTTGCCAAGCGCATCCTTCGTTATCTGAAGGGTTCCCTTGGCTTTGAACTCTCATTTGGTCGGTCTCATGGTCCTCTCACTCTTCGTGGCTTCAATACTCGCCCTCACACCCTTCATGGTTCTCTGATGCTGATTGGGCTAGTTGCCCTGATACTCGTCGCTTGACTACTGGCTTCTGTGTGTTTCTTGGCCCTAATCTTATCTCTTGGAGTGCCAAGAAACAACATACTGTGTCTCACTCTTTTGTCGAGGCTGAGTATCGGTCTTTGGCTCATGTTTGTGCCAACACCATATGGATTTCTTATCTCCTTCACGAGTTAGCCATCCCTTCTTCTGGCCTGACCCTTCTCCTTTGTGATAATTTGAGCACCACCTATATGGCGACTAATCCGGTTTTTTATGCTCGTACTAAACATATTGAGCTTGATTATCACTTTATTCGGGAGCATATCCTCTCTCTTTCTCTCACCATGTTCATTTTGTTTCATCTACGGACTAGCTTGCTGACATCTTCACAAAGGGCCTTTCTACACAACGCTTCCAGCTCCTTTGATCAAATCTCGTCTCTCCTATATTGTCAGATTTGTGGGGGAGTGTTAGACAGCCCACATAATCTAGCCTTCATGATAAATACGTATTGTCTTAGTCAACTCGCTTAATTGTATATTGGTGTATATCAGGGATCTGTGTTTATTTCCTTTTTTGATTCCTCTCTGCATTGTATAAATTTCCTCCTTGAGAGATGAATAATCAATCAGAAATTCTCAACTTCTACAAATCCCAATTCTTTTTGCCGAAATCTCTTTGGCCCCTTGTGGCTATACTTGGACGTACACTTTGGACTCTTGATGATGTCGGTAATTTCCTCCGAATTTGGATTAACACTTTGGGGTTACTGGACTTCCATACTTGTATTAATCCTACACGGGTATTGGTGTCTGTAATGGTCCTTTCGCTTGAATTATAAATACATTATCGTCTTTATCTCAACAACGAACAACAACCAAAAAACAAAAAAAAAGGCTAAAGAAATTTGGATGGGTCAACTTTACTATTGACATGTACTACAACAGGAACGTACACAGAACAGAGCAATGCTGTGAGACTTTAGGCCACAAGTTTTAAAGCAATTTGGAGATCGCACTATACCATAAAAATGACATCTAGCTTCTGAAATGACTGGCAAATTAATGGGTCTTATCTTGCCCCAAGTTTGAAGGAATGCGGAACTGTAAGCTTTAATTTGAAAAGGATGGCAAATTAAGAAATGAAAGCTATGTCTTAGTAATATTCAAACGAAGAAATGTCCATCCTTTATGCTGAGAAAACTAGCATACTAGTTGCAAACTGATCAATTTGCACATAAGCTAGGATTAAATGAACACTGCCATAACTTGAATTGGATCCAGAACGAACTATACAACGAGATTAACAAGGGGTTCAACTAGTGATAAGAATACACACTTTGCCTTCGAGAAGCTAACCTCATTTGGATGACAAACTCATAAGCCAGGAAAGAAAGGGGTAATTTCGAGATCATCAAAACAATTTGAAGAATTGAAGCTGCCGTTCAAAACATGGTGCCACCTGACCGTGAGACTCCTTCGAACAATTTGCATAAAACACAGAAAACGAATGCAACATTCACTAAATGAAAATGACATCAAATGAGTACTTCATTTTCCATCTTCATATAAGTGAAGCTTCCAGCATTCTGTATCCTGATTCCTGCACACATAAAAAACCACTAGCTTCTTCCTCAGTATGTCACCTTTACTGCTTTAACAAATAGATATTTCTTGGTGCCTTATAGGAATAACATCTGTATGTGCATATACAGATACTTCAAAGATTCTTGGAGCGTTCTTCAGATGATCTGTAAATACGAAATGCAGCAAAACACATTGTAGCATTGCCGATAACTGTCAGGGCTGCTTGAAGAGCCACCAGGACCTGCAAATCATGGAGGAGCCCCAAAGTCACTGTAGATATTTGTCTCACAACTCAGTTCCGGTTGTAATTGAAGGAAAATATTCATAAGAATCTAGCAATTAGTTGCTGCAAGTGATGATCATGATCAATATTCTGTTTTGTGTTTCAACCATTTTATTTCCCTTACTCTTAACCAAATCTGCATGGAAGAGATACCACCCTTCTTACCTCAAGAGACTCAGAGTTATAAAAGAAATGCCATGTGCATGCACATAATGCTCCACCAAGCAGGGGAACCTACATCAATCAATTACATCAGTAAAAATTTAACCAAGGAGGCAAGCCATTTGAATAATTGTAAAACTACAAAGCAAGCTCTACATAAACTCCTTAACCTCTACATCCCTGCAACTGACTTGGAAACCTAAATTTTCGACTTAAAACTACATCAGAATCCACAAACTGACAAAAATGATATCAACCACATCTTAAAAGCTATCTTCTTTAAGATTAGACCCTAATCGTTTTGAATTGTAAAGTCAGTTAAATGGATATGAACTGCCATTAGTAGTACAGCTTAACAAACACGTACCGTTGTAAATGAAATCTACCATTAGTAGTAAAGTTTCTAATCAGCTCATAAAGAGACCATTATCAAGAAATACTTGAGATTTTTATCCTACTACTGGTAACTGTATGGTGTCAAACCGGGAGGATCAAATCAATAAAAATATCTAGAAGACTGTTGTACCCACTATAGTTCAAATTCTAGATTGGTTGGTGGCTTATGATAAACCAATACTTGTGATATGCTCTGAAAGAAAAGGAGGCCCTATGCTTGTTTATCTCCTCACTAGTTTGTGGTGAAAAGCTGAGAGCGAGTCAACTGAGCATATATATACTTATGTTGGTGCAAACAAGTAGGCTTTTACTCTTTGGTATTCTGTAGTGCTGGCCTCTATTTGGATTGTGGGGTTGGAGACGAACAGAAGGATCTTCGACAACAGGGCAGATATAGTTTCTATTGGATTTATACCCTCATTTAGCCAACAATACAACTAATGGGAAACGAATGGGAACAATCGCCTACCAACCAGTTTACTAAAACTTAAAGTATTGTATACAACCTCTAAAAAGTACTTCAATGAAGTTAGAAGTGCTCCATCATTCAGAATAAATAATTTTAACAGAGGCAACATTGTTCTTTTGTTATGCATTTAGCCATGGATCATCCAAATAATCAAATCAAAATTACATTGCACCAAAAGAAAATAACTCACCATACCCCAAGACAGCCCTTTCCAAGATTCAAAGCCAGACTTCTCCCCATACTGCCACACCAAAGCCATTGCTGTAATCCTTGCAACAGAAAATAGAATTTACAATTAACACAGCAAGCAACCATACTCAATATAATTGTATTCCTTTCCTTTACCTCTCTTTTTCTAGGCAACCAAACAGGTGGCCAACAAGAATTCAAAACGAAAACAAAAACAATGAAAGAGAGAGAAAATTCGCAAAACCCATTTACAGAAACACCAGAAAATGATCATACGAGAGAAAATGCTCACCATTCAACGACACTAGAAACGTGTATGGCCCAGGTGGGCAAAGAGAGGGCATTGGAGGGTTCAGTGACATGCAAGGATCCCCACAACGGTAACTCAGCAGCTGAGGCGGGTCCAATAAGGGTCAGGGTCAGACCCGCTCCGAGAAAACCCAGGGTACCATTTTGACTGAGGGGCTTTGCGGGTCGGGTCTGAGCTTTTGGGTGTGTACGGAACGTTGGAGGGGAAAGGGGTTTGTGAGGAAAAGGGGGTTTTGGGAGGTACAGTACGGAGTTCATTGCCACGGTCGTTGGGTTTTGTTTGAAAATTTTCACTGTAAAGCTTTCTAAGCAGGTAGTTGAAGATGAGGGTACAATAGAAATTTGCTTCAAGATTGAAAGTCTTTCTGGTAATTAGGCTTTGGATAAGGTACCATAGGCTTTGCACCCACCAACACCAAGGAGCTCAATATAAACTCTTCTACCTAAAATTATCTACTTGTCACAGTAAAAATTAAATTAAAAAAAGCTAATTGAAAGGAATGTACATGAACATTCAAAATATTTCAATTATTTATTTATTTGTAGACAAGCGATATTGAAAGAAGAAATCAAAATGAGTAAAATACTCTTATCGCTTGAGCTACAGCTGCCAGTCTTAATTTATTTTGAGTGCTGCTAAACGAACTCTAAAATTAACCGAGTACACCATACTACAAAAGTATATATTGAATTACTAATTTACCCTAATATAAAATGACCAAAAAGGATATATGGAATTGTGAAACAAATATAATTTTAATAAGTACACTCTACTAACCGTATTCAACCCTAAGGAGTTGCAAAGCCTCTGTTGCACTTTTGAAATTATGCAGATTTGCAAATTGGGTTACTTTTGAAGAGAGAGAGAAGAATAGAGGCATTACAATAGGTCATGCAGGTTTATCTCAAGGCTAATTGTACTTTCTTGGTGCATCTTAGGTTGTTGTTCAATACATGACTGAGCTTGTCGTGAAAAGAGAAGTTAAAGCACAACCTGCTAAGCAGAAGAAGACTTGGGCTCAAATCTGCTTCTTCTCGCGATCCAAAAGGAAGCGCAGCGGTGGAGATTATGTGAAGGCTTGATTAATCATTGAATTCCTAACAAGAGACACGATAATTTCAATCGAGTAAGTTGTCAAAACAATATTATGGTGAATTGACTTATATATTGTAAAAATAGAATTTATGCATATTACTTTTGCCTAGTTCACTAACAACATGAATGAAAAACTCTTTGACCCTACTGTGGTGGCACCATCTTCATCCCCCTTTTAGAACTTAGTTTTTCTGGCTTGTAAGCGTGTGTGATTAAAAATATCTTAACTAGTACTACTACGGCCAATTTGATGAAGTTTGCAGTGACTTTCTTTTGCCACTCATGCACCTTTCTTATTGTTTTTCTCTTATGTTCTTATAAGTGAAAAACAGGAAACTTGATCAATTTTAGTGAACCAAAAGTACACCTTAGAGCACTAGCTTTGGGGGGGAAAGTCTTGTTATTCGTGCACGTCTACCTCAATGTGGGGCTTAGAACAAGCCATTAGAAAACAATTTTGGAAGGACACAAATGAATTGGCCTCTTACTAGTACATTGCAGAGATATTATTCCAGTTTTATGTAGCATATATAAAAATAAAAGCAACATTAATAGGATCATTAGCAAAGATAATACTAACATGAATCATCTCTGTGACTTATGCAATACATTGTTGTCTTGCACGCAGTTCTGTTGACAAAGCATCTTCCAACTGTGTAGGAGGTTCATGTACTGTGACATTTAGAGTTGTCCACTGTAAAGTAATGCTCTATTTGAATTGCTTATTTATTTGTTTATTTATGTATTTGGATTCCTTTCACAAGGAGTTTCAAAGCCTCTTTTGTACTTTTGAAATTATGCAGATTTGCAAGTTGGGTTACTTTTGAAATTTTGGAATGGATGCTTCATACATTTCGAGGAAGTCATCAAAGAGGTAGTTAATTTGAATTTTTTTTTTTTTTTTTTTTTTTTTTTTTGGTTTTTGGTTAAAGCATGTGTACCGAAAAATGACAAATATAAGGGTTTTTTTTATAGCATCCAGAAGATGTATCTAAGCAAGACACCGACATCAATAAACAATGTGTTTTAGACTACAGAAACAAATTTATCACAAACGAGGTAAATTAATGAATATTTATATATTTATTTTATAATTGCATACATTAATTTAATTATTAGTGATTTTATAGATATTTGTTAGTCGTGATGCATTAATAAGATGGACTCGTGAACAAGGGAAAAGGAATGGATTTGTGATTATCATTAAAAAGTCAAAGATTTATAAACACTATTAAAAAAATCAAGCTGAAAATCAACTATAAAATAATGTTACAAGTATTAGGGTGTATCAGGGGTATTTTTGGTAGTTCTATAGGGTGTACTTAGTTAATTTTACATTTTAATTAAAAATATTAGGGTGTACTTAGATCATAGGATGTACTCAGTTAATTTTAGAGTTCGTTTAGCAGCACTCTTTATTTTTTGTTTTGGGAATGTGGGTATTAATAATAAATGGACCCTTTGTGCAAAGTTTAGTGTAACAATAAAATATTTCTAATACTATTATTGTTGGAAAAACTTTAGTACATAATTCCATACAAAGGAAGACAAAAGATTAAAACATGGACTTCATTATAATGATGATCCATGTAGGTTATGTACTGCTTGCTCCTACTACAACTAGGATATCAATTTAATTAGGTTTTATTACTTAAGGAATGTGATTTCACTTTGCCCCTGCCAATTAAAACTCGTTGTTTCTTTAATTTTACAAGTTGTAAGAGCAGCTCCACCACTGCACCCAAATTGGGCAAAAGGCCTCCCTGGCAAGCCCAAACACCCTCCAGCGCGAGAGACCAGGCCCAGGCAAGAGCTGGGTCCCACCAGCCGAGGCAAGTCTAAGGGCAGGTTTCGCCTAGGCTTCAGCCCGAGGGCTAGGGCTGGCAATGGGTCGGGTTGTGTCGGGTTCGTGTCGTGTCGGGATATTAAACGTGTCAAGAATGCTCAACTCGAACCCAACCCATTTAATAAACGTGTCGTGTCGGATTTGGGTCGTCTTTTATCATGCGAGTTTCGAGTCGTGTAATGGGTTGATAAATAATAACATGCATGTTACAAAAGTCACAATTGAAAAAATTTAAATAAAAAAATAGAGAGAGGAGAGAAAATATAAGGAAAAGAAAGGAAAAAAAAAAGGATAGAGAAGGAAAACAAAAAAATAGAGAGAGAGAGAGAGAGAGAGAGAGAGAGAGAGAGAGAGAGAGAGAGAGAGAGAGAAGGAGAGATATAAAAATAAAAAAGAGAGGAGAGAAAACCAAAGAGAAGGAAAAGAAAGAAAAAAAAATAAGAGAAGAGAAAAGAGAGAAGGAAAAGAAATTAAAAAAGATAGAGGAGAAGATAGATGGAAAAGAAATAAAAACAAAAGAAGAAAAAGAAACATTATAAATATAAAAAGGCATAGTATATAATCACAAAGTTGTATCTAGCATGGTGGATAAGGTGTTGGAAAGTAATGAGGATGGAGGGGGTTCGAAACCCAATATGTGTTTTGAAGTCTCTATTTCTCTATATTTTTTTGCGGGTTGGCCTGTCTTACACAGGTTGAGACGACCAGTTTAATAAACGAGTTATACATGTGTTTTAATGGGTTGACGGACTGACCTGAAACCCACCCGTTTAATAAACAGGTCAAAACGGGTTGACCAGAAAATTACCCAATTATTAATCGTGCGGGTTCAAGTCGTGTTTTTTCCGTGCGGGTTTCGAGTCATTTAACGGGTCGTGTAGGAAATTGCCACCCCTACTGAAGGCTGTGACGTCAGCGCACGGTAATTCAAATTTTTTTTATTGTTGGTGCTTGAGTTTCATGTGCCAATGATAAAAAAATTAGACTTCCGCTTGCTGACGTCAGTGCTGACAGAATCCAACGGGCATGTGCCACGTGTCGGAACTGGGATGCTCTGATCGGTTTTTCAGAAATCTAAACGTTTTTAAAAAAATTGCAAAAAAAATCGAAAAAATTCTAAATTTTTTTTTAAATACCAAAAAATTATGTATTTTTTTCCCTATAAATACCTAACCATTTTATTTACTTTCCATACCAAATCTTCATACAATTTCTTCTTCATCCAATATTTTTTACTCTCCACTCACATTATTCACTTTCCACACCAATTCTCCATACAAACTCTTCTCCTTCCAATATTTTTTACTCTCCACTCACATTTTTCTATTACTTTCCATTTGTATTAAAAAAAAACAAATGGCATCTTCTGTCAAAGTCGGAGGCTCGTGGACAACTTATCACGTCTATGCCGGATTTCTTCCCTTTCTTTCTATTGCCTCTCCAACACCCTCCTCAAGTTTGACATTGAGAGTAGAATGTGTTTTGTAAAATCTGAGAAATGAAGGAATAGATAAGAGATGGTGTGAGAGGTATGAGTTGATGGTGTAGTTTTATAGAGGGATTCAGAAGATAGAGATGACACGTGGCACAATTTTAAAGGGTGAAAATCTTATATGAAATATGAGATTATAATTTTTTAAAAATATATGAAAATCTTATCTGACATGGGACACGTGGCACAATTTTAGAGGATGAAAATCTTACTTGAAATATGAGATTATAATTTTTTTTAAATATCTGAAAATCTTATCTGACATGGGACATGTGGCACAATTTTAGAGAGTGAAAATCTTATCTGAAATATGAGATTATAATTTTTCAAAAATATCTGAAAATCTTATCTGACATGGGACACGTGGCACAATTTTAGAGGGTGAAAATCTTATCTGAAATCTGAAATTATAATTTTTTTTAATGAATATCCGAAAATTTTATCTTGAATAAGACACATGGCAATCGAGATTCTCATCCGAAAATCTTTTCTGAAAAATAATGGACACGTGACAACCAAAAATCTTATCCAAAAATTTAATTACAAAAGATGATCAAAATTAATGGTTTAAAGTATAAAAAAATCGGAAATAAAGTACAATGAATAGTATTTTTCTTAGACTTAGCCCTCATGGGTGGAACCACAAATGGCAAGGCTAACACTATTCATGTGAATAGTGACAGCCCTTGCTTGCCCTTACCCTAGACTTAGCCCTTATGGGTGGAGATGCTCTAACTAAACTAAAATTGAAAGCCAAGCATCGTACACTTGTAGGTTCTTGAAGTTTGTGGCTTGGACCAATCCGCAATGAAGGTGGTGACTTGTAAGTGAAGCAATTAGCAAGCTGCACCTAAGCTATGTGATTTTTTTCGACAAAAAAAAAAGCTATGTGATTTTTGTAAGTTTTTATGTTCAAGAAAATACGAGTATTGCCCTAAGAAAAACTTTACGAGAATGAATTTACAAAAACTTCACAAATTTATTGGGCATTCCTTGATTTCAAGTTTGGATTACAAATGGACCTAATAGACAATGATTTTCATGATCTTATGGTGTTTCTTACATTTTAAATTAAGCATATTTTCGAAATAAAAATAAATAAAAGAATTGTGCAAGTTCTAATGATGTAACGGACAAACATGATGAATCAATTGAAGTTGTGAAAGAAGAATACAGATATATATATATATATATTCAATTGAAGTTGTGAAAGAAGAATACAAGATATATATATATATATATATATTCATAGAAACAGATAAGAAAATGAAGGTGTTTCCCTCTTTTCGGCCGGGGTGACCGACGGAAGGAACTTTTGGGTCTTTCTTCTTTTTTGAGTGCGGGGCGTGCCACCACAAAGCCCCGAATTTGGGCTTTAATGGAATATGAATAGATGGATGTGTTGCGTCCGAGATCTGACTTTAATAAAACGATTGTTTGGCCGAGCAAGGAACCTCTTCATGGCCTAGGTTCTTTCACTACCTCGGGGTCAAGGCTTTATGTGAGCAACCAAATGATGTAGAGTGGGTGGAAATGAAAATTGAAGGTGAAACGTAATGAAATGAAGAATAGTGCGTAAAGTAAATGTGCTTAAACTTAAATATAATTTAATGACAAATGCGTAAAATAAAGTGCGAAAGATAAATAACGTAAAGACGAGAATTAAAGTGCGATAAAATGAATCAAAGCAATAAATAAAGTAAGAACAAAATGAAAGCGATAAGAACAATAAAGTAAAATGAACTTAAAATTAAACTTAATTGAAGTGCGATAACAATGAAAAGTAAAGGAATTGAAATAAACTTGAATTTGAATTACAAGAAAATATAAATTGAACGAGAATTTAAACTTATACTAAGAAAAGGAAGAACTCGCTACACTAAGTGGATGTAATGTAAAATCCTAAGTCTAGGAAAAGAAAAGTGCGAGACGAAAAATAGGTTTGTCTATCTGATGTTGTGTGTCTGATGTCTTCATCGAGCAAGGTTTATATAGGGCACTCGTCAGCCCATGGGATGGCCATTGAATGGCCATAGGTCAACTCCTTTACAAATTCTTTCCTTCCAAGGCCCCCCTAAATCTATAGGATTGCATTGATTGAGATATTCGGACATGCTTGATTCTTCCTTGCTTTGGAATACTCGGAGTTACTATAAAAAAATCCCTTGATTTCTTTCCTTGTGAGTCCTCCGTCATGTGCACATAATCCTCCAAAAATCTGGGCTTGAATCGCCTACTTAAACTTGGGCATCCGATTTCTCTTATATTGCCATTCATATAATATATGTTAAATTTCCAATATATATAATAGGATGAGCAGCTTGAGAGTCTGGCCGACATATAGGTTCAAAGCAATTGACACAAATATTCATACATATATATATATATATATTATGATATTATATATATGTAATATAATATTACAAAGTATGGAGGGCTTAAGTGGGAGCCTCCAGCCACCTTTGGGCATGGCCCAGCAATCTATACATATATTAATATATATATATATATATATATATATGGCTAAGCAATTACTTCTACAAGCCTCGCAGATGCAAGATGATGATGAAGACAATGAGTCTCAATCCTCTTCCAGCTGTCAACCTCGCCAGCAAAGCCCTAGCCCAAGCCCTGATAGACCCATGAGATGGTCTGACTATCCTCATGGTCAAGACCCTAATGAAGCCTACACCTCTTATGATTTGAATTCAGACTAAGCCTTCGATTCCCCAAAGAAGCTGAGCAAAAGCATTTGAGTAAAAGTGAAAGCATTTGAGTAAAAGCAAAAGCATCTGAGTAAAAATGAAAGCATCTGAGTAAAAGCAAAAGGTGAAAAGTGAACGGTGAAAGCATCTTAAGTTAAAGAATATTTACAATACTTGAGTTAGTTTACTAGAGTTACTTTTTCTTTACTAAGGTTAAGATTTTCTTTTTAAGGAGGCCTCCGCCTCATTTGCAGACAGAATGTAAAAATTTAGTTTTCTTAGTTTCAAATTGTTCTCTCAGAACCAATAATCTGAAGAACTGCTGAGTATGAGCGAAACTAGGAGCTATCTTTTGTAAGCATTCTCATAAGCCTATGTCTTTATAAAATTTTGAGTAATTTCAAATATATATCATTATGTTCATACAGTCATTATTTTTTATACATTCAATATTTGTTTATTCTTTAATTAGATTTATGCATAAACTGCGACTATTCTTTTATGTTTCCTTTTTAACCATATATGTTAATCCCTCTTGGTTCTAGAACCCTTTTGGTATCAGAGCCGTAAGAGTTGTGAGATTTGTGTCTAAGTTGCAACTCATCCAACCCAAGTGGCTGGTTTAGGATATCTGAGTTGAAGTTCCTAGTTTCTTCTTCCCTTTCTTTTATTCTTTGAGTTACTTTTTGGTTTTCTCCCTTAAGGTCTGACCCGTGAGTCCTTTTTCCAAACGATAAGTCCCAGGTGAGGCACGAGCGGTGGGCAGGAGACAGAAAACTAGGGAGGGTACTATTAAGTTTCTTCTAGGATAAACAGTAAGATTAGAAGTTACTATTTATCTTCTTCTTCATTCTTCCAAACCCATACACTTGAGCAACAATGAGTCGTTTCTTTAGAACAAATTCTTGTAGTTCGAGCAGCTCTAAAACCACTATAGGTCGTCTACCTGAGATAGTAAATGAGGAACAATTTGAGTATAATTCTAATAATGATAATGAACAATTAGATTTTAGAGAGTGGAATATACCTAAAGTACCTGATAAAAATATATATAGGAAAAAATGGTCTTTGAGTACATTTAATACTACTACACATGTTAAGACTGTAGAACAAGTTTATGCTTTGAGTAAAGAACATGAGTCTTGTCAATTACTTAATTTAGATGCATTTAAGAGACATAAGCATGATGGTAACAATTTCCTGCATATTGGTCTTGTTCAAGTTGCTGCTAAGCCATTAACTAGATTAGGATTACAAGCCTCTATTTTGTTATGTCTACGTGATGCTAGATTTACTGTATTCAATGATAGTGTACTTGGTATGATTGAGTCAAGTCTTTGTAATGGTCCGGTACATTTTGATTGTTATCCTAATTTTACAATAAGCCTAAATGATCCCCATATTCTCAAAACCTTAACTTTGAATATTAAAACTTCTGGTTATAATGTTTTGCCTGGTACTCAACCTATAGCTTTGATTTACAGGATATATTATAAAGTTACAGGTACAAATATGAATTTTCAAGCCCTGAATAAGAGTCCTAGAGATCAGACATTATTAATACAAAGCCGTACACCTGATGCTAATATAAGTATTCCTCATACAATTAAATGGTCTGAGATTAATTTACCTAGAGATTGGACTTTAGTTACTGAGTCTCAACCTGCACCAATACAGCGTAGTTTAAATAATTTAGATTATATACAACAATATTTAGACGGTACTGTTAAGATTAATTTTGGTAATCAACCTAAATCTAATGTACAATTACAGCAATTACCTACCCCAAGCCCATCTAAACGACATGAACCTGCTAGAAATTCATCTGCTTCTTCCTCCATACAAGAAAGAGATTTAGAAATAAAAAGAGCCTTAATTGATTTAAAATTAGAATCCTTACGGAAAAAGGCCCAAGTAAGTCATCCCTGTTATGCTCCACCTATAAATGAACCCAAACCAGAGTCTCCTCCTACATCGCCTAATCAATCTGATTTCTTAGCCAGTGAATTAGCTGCAACGCATATGTATAATATAGACAAACAGTTAAATGTCCTTAAAAGAGTTGAGTCATTTAAGATTAATTGGAAAGCCTTAGATAAACACCTGCATGACCCTGCTAATAAATCTAGAAGAGATATATATCACAAGATTACCCCGGATGCAATTAAAAGACAAGAAATATTTACTGAATGGAAAAATTACATGAGATCGGAGAAAAAGGAAATATTTTATCTTGATTTTGTAGAAGGCCGTTATAATCATACTGAGTTAAAGACAATAACTAAAGAAAAATGGGTAAAATTAGATCAATCTGAAGTAGTGTCTAGTCACCCTCCTGCAGAAACTATTGTTTTTAAACATGGATCAAGAACTGTTATTGCAAGCTCATTTAAGATAGCTGACCAAGCCGATGAGCCCAACAAACGTTTAATAGAACAAAATAATTATGCAAATCAGAGTCTAATTACTATCGGAAAACAATTAGATAAAATAGAAACTAAGATCGATAAGTCATTACCTATTGAATCTAAGCTAAAATCTGTAGAAAAACCCTTAGTTCAGTTTCAAGATTTACAACCTAAGTTTGCACTTAAAACATCCTCTACAATGAAGAAGATAGAAGAAATGCTTGAACACTTAGCCATTGCCAAACCTGAAAAGCCTGAGAAATCTGGCCTTAAAGTTATAGGAACTGCTGTCTCTTTAGACACTCCTTCAGGAACTGAGTCTGAATCAAACACAGAATCTGTTGAATTTAGTAACATTTCAAAAATAGAAAATGCATTTAAAAATCTAGAATTAGAATCTGAGCTAAAAGTGAAAAGGTTAACTAATCCTCTTAATTTAACAAAAAATTGGTATCCTAAGCCTACACCACCTGATATTCAATTTGAAGAAAGAAATAACCTGAGTCAATTTTCTGTTTCTTCTGATAAGCTGTATGAATGGAATATAGATGGTCTGTCTGAACAAGAAATTATGAATAAATTAACTCACATGTCTATGGTAGCTAATAGTTACATTACTAATCACAATTTAAGACAATCTGAGATAATTCCTTTATTAGAAACTGGTTTTACTGGAACTCTACGTTCATGGTGGGATAAGCATTTAACTAATGAGTCTCGAGAAAATATTATTCATGCAGTAAAACTAAATGAAGAAGGTCTTCCTTTGTTTGACGAAAACATAGGTCGAGGTATAGAAGATGGTGTTAATACTCTACTTTATACAATCATTGAGCATTTCATAGGAACACCAAGTCATACACAGTCTAGAATACATGACCAATTGAGCAATCTTAGATGTCCACAATTAAGCGATTTTAGATGGTATAAAGATGTATTTATTTCTCGTGTCATGATAAGAGAAGATAGTAATCAAGCCTTCTGGAAAGAAAATTTATTAATGGTTTGCCTAATTTATTTGCCCATAAGATTAGAACTGTATTAAGTAATGAGCTAGGTCATATAGATTATGATAATTTGACATATGGTAATATAATTAGTACTATTAATCAAGAAGGTATGAAAATGTGCATTGATATGAAAATTAATAAGCAAATACAGTCTGAAAGGAAATCTGCAAAATATGAGTTAGGTAATTTCTGTGAACAATATGGTTTATTTACCCCACCGTCTAGGCAAAATAAATATAAGTCTCCTAGTCACCTGCGTAAAAAACGTCACTATAAGCGAAAGAATCATTCCTATCAGCCCAATGATGAATTCTACAAGAAAAAATCCCGATTTAAGAAAAGTTGGTCCAAAAAGCCAAATAAGTCTAAAGGAAAGAACTTTAAGAAAAGCACCGACAAAAGTAAAGTTAAATGTTTTAAATGTCAAAAGTTCGGTCATTATGCGAATAAGTGTAAAGTAAAAGACACTATTAAACAATTACAGATTACGGATGCCGATAAAGACAAATTAATTAAAGTCCTTGAGTTAAGAGATTCTGAGTCTGGTGATATAACTATGGTTAGTAATTCTGAGTCTTCCAACTATGAGTCTTCTGATTCCTATCAAAGCTCACCTAACATTCAATTGGGTTGTAAAGATAAGTGTTGTAATACCCTTAGGACCATTTCTGTTTTAACCAAACAAGAAGAGCAAGAAGAATTGCTCATTGATTTAATTAGTAAAATAGAACATCCTGAATTGAAATCTGAATATTTAAAGAAATTAAGAAAAATTATATCTCATACAGATACAGTTCAAACCTCTTCTCCCACTATAAGCCTGAATACTACCCTAGAAAGGTTTCATAAGAAAAAAGAAGTCTCTTTGCATGATTTACATTCTGAGGTAAAACCGTAAAAAAAGAAATAATTGAATTAAAACAATTAAGTTATAAATTACAAACTGAGAATTATAATATCCGACAAAGTCTAAATTCCCTATTAGAAAAAGATTCAGCTAAGTCTAATAGTCAACCAAGCAGTCCTACCCATTCTGAAGAAAATGAGCATAATGATCATACAATTAATTTAATTAATCATGTTTCTTTTAGAAAATGGTATTCTAAAGTCACTATAATTATTAAAGATTTTGAGCTCGAAACTATTGCTTTGTTTGATTCAGGTGCTGATCTTAATTGTATTAAAGAAGGATTAATTCGTACTAAGTATTATACCAAATCTACAAAATCCCTAAGCACTGCTTCTGGAAAAATGCTGCATTTAAATTATGAGATTCCTAAAGCCCATGTTTGTCAAAATAAAGTATGTTTTAAAACTTCGTTTGTTTTAATTAAAAATATAACTGATAAAGTTATTTTAGGTTTACCCTTTATAAGTCTTTTGTATCCCTTGCAAGTTGAATTTGATGGAGTCGTCTCAAGTCCTTTAGGTGAAAAGGTTAAATTTGATTTCCTTACTAGATCTGAATTGCATGAGTTAAAACATACACAGAAAAACATCAATATTATAACTACTTCTTTGATTCATGATAAAACCAATCAAATTAAATATTTACAGGATGAGGTCAAATCTAAGCGTATTGAGTCTCAACTAAATGCCCCTAGCATGCAACACCAAATTAAAAATTTTGAGAATAAATTAGTTACTGAAATATGTTCTGATTTACCTACTGCTTTCTGGCATAGAAAAAATCATATAGTAAGTCTGCCTTATATTAAGAACTTTTCTGAGAAAAATATACCTACTAAAGCCCGTCCAATACAGATGAGCCAAGAAATATTAGAATTTTGTAAAAATGAGATAAATGAGTTATTACAAAAAAACATTATTAGGAGAAGTAAATCACCATGGTCTTGTCCTGCTTTTTATGTACAAAAAAATGCTGAGTTAGAAAGAGGATCGCCCAGACTAGTTATTAATTATAAGCCTCTTAATACTGTCTTAGAATGGATTAGATACCTTATACCTAATAAAAGAGATTTGATTAATCGCCTAAGCAAAGTTGTTATTTTTTCTAAGTTTGATCTAAAGAGTGGTTTTTGGCAAATACAAATTACTGAGTCTGATAAATATAAAACTGCTTTTGTTACTCCCTTTGGTCATTATGAGTGGAATGTTATGCCTTTTGGTCTTAAAAATGCTCCTAGTGAATTTCAGAATATAATGAATGAGATTTTTAATCCTTACAGCCAATTTTCCATTGTTTATATTGATGATGTTCTTATATTCTCTGAGTCCATAGAACAACATTGGAAACATTTGTATAAATTCTTACAGATAATAAAAACTAATGGATTAGTTGTCTCTGCTAAGAAAATTAAATTATTTCAAACTCATATCAGGTTTCTTGGTTTTAATATAAGTCAATCCCAAATACATCCTATAGATAGAGCCATACAATTTGCTGATAAATTTCCTGACCAGATAATTGATAAGAACCAATTGCAAAGGTTTTTAGGATCACTTAATTATGTTTCTGATTTCTATAAAAATTTGAGAAAGCAATGTAAACCCTTATATGATAGATTACAGACTAATCCTCCTCCTTGGTCTCCTATTCACACTAAGATTGTTAAGCAGATTAAGAGCCATGTTAAAACTCTTCCTTGTCTTGGTATACCTACTACAGACTCCTTTAAAATTGTTGAGACTGATGCTTCTGATATAGGTTATGGTAGTATTTTTAAACAAAAAACTCCTGCTATTCCTTCTGAGCAAATTGTTCGATTCCATTCGGGTATTTGGTCTAAGTCGCAGTCTAATTATAATACTATCAAAAAAGAAATATTAGCTATTGTATTATGCATTACTAAATTTCAAGATGATTTATTAAATCAGAAATTTTTAGTTCGAGTCGATTGCAAATCTGCTAAACATGTATTAGAAAAAGATGTTCAAAATATTGCATCAAAACAGATTTTTGCAAGATGGCAAGCTCTTTTAAGCATATTTGATTTTGACATTGAATTTTTAAAAGGTAGTGAGAATTCTGTTCCTGATTTTCTTACCAGAGAATTTTTACAGGATAAGCAATGGCCGGAAGAAAAGAAAAAGATAAGCACAAAGAACAATACAGCCAGACCCCTCAAATGCCCAGAATCCTCCCTGCATCATTAAGCCAAACATCCATAAAAAATGAGCCTGGTTCCTCTTCCTTTCCTAAGCTTGAGCCTACTTGCATTACTCCTTTCCCTGGCCTTTCTCCTATCCCTATAGATAATCGATTTAGTCCCTTAGGATCTACATTGAGCCAAATGAGACCAAATTACCAATCTGCACTTACTTCCAGCTATGATCCTTTTGTACTTCCCCCTACTGCAACTCCACTTTCTTCTTCTACATTTCGTCCTAAGACTTCTCCCTACATTTCTAAAAGCACTGCTAATCTTTTTATTGTTGAGCCACATGTGTCCGTTTCCATGAGCCCTGCAATGATTGCCCTGAACCATTTTCCCCCGGGATTTCATTATCTTCCTCACAGCCCATACAAGTCCCTTAAATTCTATAGAGAAATACTACATGAGACTAAATCTGTTGATATTAAGCCTATCCGTGATAAAATTGATCCCCAGAAAATTATATATCATTCTCTTTACATTTACCAAATCCTGAATCAAAAGAGTTGGGGTGCACACCCTTATGAATTAAGAACCCTTCCATCTAAATTACAATACAATTATGCTGATTATGTTGAGTCTTGGTACTACATATTCCTACATCAAACTCCTGATTTTACACATTCTTGGTTTATTAATTTTGATAATAAATTCCGTTGTGAGCTTCCCTACTGGTTCCTTCATTGGTGGGATACCCATGGTCCTAAATCTGAAATTATTCCTTTGCAAATTACTGAGCTTATTACTCTCTTCTCTTCTAAAGTAAAACTTCATGAGCGTGATTTATTTTTTCCCATGCCCCTACTTTTCTTTACTTGTTATAAACTTCCTTGGATTATGAAGTGGTCTTACAATATTAATTGGGAAACTCGTATTTTTTCTCGTCAATTTTCTGTTAAATGGTGGGATCGCTTTGAGGTCCACCGTATTGCTGAATATTTTTACAGAGATTTTCCTAAGCCTATTTACCCGAAGCATGAACCTGAGCCTACTTCACCTCACTCCTCTCAAACGAGCCTTTCGGTAGAAGGCAAATCTAAGACTGAGCTACAAGATATGGCTAAACAATTACTTCTACAAGCCTCGCAGATGCAAGATGATGATGAAGACAATGAGTCTCAATCCTCTTCCAACTGTCAACCTCGCCAGCAAAGCCCTAGCCCAAGCCCTGATAGACCCATGAGATGGTCTGACTATCCTCATGGTCAAGACCCTAATGAAGCCTACACCTCTTATGATTTGAATTCAGACTAAGCCTTCGATTCCCCAAAGAAGCTGAGCAAAAGCATCTGAGTAAAAGTGAAAGCATATGAGTAAAAACAAAAGCATCTGAGTAAAAGTGAAAGCATCTGAGTAAAAGCAAAAGGTGAAAAGTGAACGGTGAAAGCATCTTAAGTTAAAGAATATTTACAATACTTGAGTTAGTTTACTAGAGACAGAATGTAAAAATTTAGTTTTCTTAGTTTCAAATTGTTCTCTCAGAACCAATGATCTGAAGAACTGCTGAGTGTGAGCGAAACTAGGAGCTATCTTTTGTAAGCATTCTCATAAGCCTATGTCTTTATAAAATTTTGAGTAATTTCAAATATATATCATTATGTTCATACATTCATTATTTTTTATACATTCAATATTTGTTTATTCTTTAATTAGATTTATGCATAAACTGCGACTATTCTTTTATGTTTCCTTTTTAACCATATATGTTAATCCATATATATATATATATATTAATATATATATTAGGGCAATCAATTTCAGCCCAATTTGCCAAGAAAACAAATATCCCCACCTCCATTTTCCAAAACTGTGCCGCAATTATCTTGGAGTTCCAGCCCCGACAAAACCCGATCTCATCACATACCCAACAAACTCGACCAGATCAACCTTGGGCATCAGTCGAGAAATACCCAGCCGCATTCTGCAATAGACCCGGCCGCATTGAATCTCCAGCTGTTGCCTTTTCATATTTCGTACACTGCCCAGCCTTCATCAACCCTCAGTTCAATCCGACCGCCAAACTCCAAATCCCGAGCCCGACCGTAATTTTTCAAATCTGCCCAGCCACTTTCGAGTTTCACTACAAATGTAGCCTGGCCAACTTGGCTCCAAGAAATCCGGTCGCACCAGCGTGTAGCTTAGCTGCCCAATTTCACCTGTGCCCAGCTAATTCTCGTGCCCGGCCGCAATTTCAAGAGCCCAACGGCCCGTGTTGTGGAATAGTGCCTGACTCAACTTTTTGAGGATGAAGCATTCGGTCACCTTTTTGAGAAAGCACTCTGGCCGCTAGGAAATCTCACCCGCTAGGAATTCTTCACTCGCTAGGAATTCTTTGCCCACTAGGAATTCTCGCCCGCTAGGAATTCTTGCTTGGCAAATTGAGTGAATTTTGACCACCCCAAACAGAAGGCAATGACAATGATAATTGTCTTACAATTTCAGCATTCTTCCTATGAAAACCTGGCTATGCATTGTACAATTAATAGATCAAACGCCAACTTCTCCAAGGCCCTCAACCAATAGCACAATTGAGGCGTCATCCATCGGCCCAAAAACACAATCCGAGCTTGCAGGGAACAGAGTGCTAATTATCCCGTGTGAGAATCCATATTCTTAAAAGTTTTTAAAGAAGATTAAACGTTTATAAATAAATATTTATATATATATATATATATATGTACTGTTTTACGTTTACAATAATGCTATTTTAATAACTATTTGTATTAGTAAATATATATATACACATGTTCATTTGAATAATTATAAATTATATTATTTGTTTTTCTCTAAATCCTAGATATTTCTTGTGTATTAAATAGCTAAAGAAAATCTATTTTTATCTTTCTGAGCAAGTTAACTTGGACAAAAGGAATGACATAGTAATTTTATATATATATGAGTTTTAATCATCTTAAGGTGGATATGTGGCACATGCATATTTCATCATTGTCACCAATATATGTGTCATTGTTTTAAAGCTCAAAGCTTGTGTGTTTTGACAGCTCTTGAAAGAAATTAGTTAGTTAATAAATATCTTGATTTTATCTTCCTATATTCGTATTTATCCTTATTCATTAAGCTTATCTATATCTATTCTTACTTCATGCCCAAGTTTTGTAAGAGTATAAATAAGGCCTCTCCCCTACGTTGTCAATAACAAGAGAGAGAGAGAGAGAGAGAGAGAGAGAGAGAGAGAGAGAGAGAGGAGAGAGAGAGAGAGAGAGATGTAAGAAATTTGATATTGGACGAGATAGGTAAATGAGTTGTCTTGCCAATTTATTTTAAGGGCTCTCATTGTCGAGGTGAGTGATTTATGTAATTTGTTCTAAAAGTTCTTATTTTGTGATAAAATATGAAAACCATGAATTATCGTGGATTTGTTCTATTTACAAATATCTCTCTATTTCAAGTCAAGCACGTCTAATTTGGTGCAATCTTTCACACTATATATATTGAATGGAATATTTGTGAAGTACGTATTATTCATGGAACATGAGAACTTCAATGTTGGGGTATCCGAGGGATAGATGTACCACACAGGGACATAGAGCAGTAAGGCCAATAGAGGTCACGTGATTGGTTACATGCTATAAAGGATAACCGAGATATGAAGAGATAATGTGATATGATATGGATTTGTGTATCTTTTCATGATATTTTCTAAAGTGTGTAAAACGACATTGCTTGACTGACATATTGCATAATCTACTCACTGAGCAGTGGTTGCTCATCCCTCACCCTGTTTTGGCTTTCTTTTTATTTTATTTTACTTTTTATTTTCTCACGCACCGGGCGCGGGGTTTCCACCCACCCCCGAGTCCGGGGCGTGACATCCCATCCCGAACGCGGAAGAGTTTTTGCAGAGCATACTGGAGTTGGACAATACCAGTTGAAATGCAAACGTTGTTATCCATTATCAGTAAGTCCCACTCGTCCTTGAGTGCCCTGGCCTTGATCTCCACTTTCAAAGCTTGGTACTCTTTCATGACCCTCTCGTGGTCATGGCGGTTGCTAGGTATCGACAAAAGCCTGCACCTCTTAATCATCATGATGCCAACGACGACCGGAGAGAGAAGGGAAGCTTTCTGCCCAAGAATTGGTGTATTGGTTTGCCTAGCGTTTTTTTTTGTTTTTCCGAAAACAGAGTATAGCCGTGCGGCTATACTATTTATTATAAAATAAAATAAAAACGACCCCAGTCAAGCCGCGCGGCTATACTCTACACAAAACCTGCAAGTTCACGGTAAAGTCACAGTCTGTCAGCTGGTACCTGAAAAGGCCACCGGCGTCGACTCCGGCAGCAGCCGACTCAAACACGTGGTCGCTTCTGAGCTGTCTGTGAGGCACTTGTATGAGATCGCCAAAGTGAAGCAAGCTGACCCGTAGTGCCAGTACATGCCCTTGGAGTCCATTATTGGTACGGCTAATTCTGTGGGGATTAAGATTGTTAAGGACTTGGATTGATTTGGGGGAAAAGGTCACATTTTGAAACCATCATCGTTGTTTTCAGAAAAAAGATTGGATTTTTGTTTGGTTTGAGAGGTTTTGCTTGTGACTTGTTAGTTTTATATTGATTTTGTCAGTGTTGTTCATGAGCTTAGTGTAATTGGGTTGCTTTTCTTGTTTACGAATTTTGCAGTAGCTTTTCAATTTGAAAGACGAATGAGGATGGCTTGCACTTCATCAAACTAGCCTTGTTCTGTTTATGAATTCTCTTACAAGACACTGCTGAATGTGATCTTGCTTGAAAAGTTCCATATAAAATTTACCTTGCAAATGTGAATGCCCTTGGATCCTATGCAGAATTGAGTTTTCTTCTCTCGGTTTCGTTATGTCATTCTGAATATAGTTGTGCCCTGATTGAATACGTTTATTAATTGACCAAGTTGGAAAAGTAGTTTCCCAGAATGAGCTCAGGAGCAGCTCTCTGACTGATACTTTGAGTTGGTGATGTGGGATTAGGCTCTTGAGCTCTTTACTCATATGGAAACAGATTTCATTACTAGTTGGAGGGTTTTACGGATGAGGAAAATTGATTCGATGAAGCATTTGAGCTTTTAATAAGAATAGGAACTTGGAGGGTTTTTACTAGTTGGGCTTTTCTGAGGAGGGTGCCACTGAGGATACAAGAAGCTTATAACCAGAGAGTTGGGAAAAAAACAATTTAAAAAAAGTGTAAATTCGTTTTTAGCCAAAGAAAAATTTCCGCTTTTGTAAAAGACCAAAGACAAAACTAAAAGGACACAAAACCTTTGCATCTTTGGAACTAAAGACATGCATTTCCCTCAACTAAAAAGCCAAAGGCAGCATGTGAAGGAATCTCCGCTGGCACAAAAACCAACCAAGCCATGCAACAGAACACCATCAGAAAAGCCATGCAACCAAGAGCCTTGTCCTTTTCTTACATGTGAACCTATTGTTTGTTTTCCGTGGGATCCATGTGAAGTCATGTGAAGTGTAAACATGTATTGGAGAATGTGTATGCAGAAAAAAATATATTTCTTCAGCAGAAAGAAGTAGAGTCGGTAGAAGATATCTCTTCTCTGGTTTTTCTCATACTTGGCAGAAAAGAGTGAAGTCGGTGAACTCAAATATATAGCCTGCAGCTCCGAAGAAAAGAAGTATACCAGAGAAAAAAAAATCTCAGTACTTCCTCCAGTTTCAATAAATAAAAATCCTTTTGTTTATATACTTTCTTTTATTCTCCATATCCTTCAAGTATTGTAAAATACTACCAACAACTGATTAAATATCCAATGCATAGCAATTTCAGCAAAAACAATTAAGTAAGTCTTTTTCTCTTTTATTTTTGGTTTTCTTAGTAGACTTCTTGTCCAAAACAAGGAAACACTTTTATAATTATGTTATTATCTTGCTAAACTGACGATCAATACTTTGTTTGAGCACTTGGTCATGTTTGATATTTGCCATAACAATAATTGGATGTTTGTCAAGGAACCTCTGAGTTCTGCTCCATAGCCCTTTAAGTTGGTGTCTTTGCAGTTCCATGTTCTAGTTCCATGTTCTAGGCATGGTATTTAGTTGTTATTTTGGCTTTTAGAAACCTTGACCAAGACCCGCTAGAAAATAATGGTATCAGAGCTTTAGTTTAGCACCTTAATAATATAGTTATACCAGTAAAGTACCTTGACACTACTACAAAAAAGGCAAAAGACGACGGGAATTCACCGTCGTGTATTCGGTTTTCAAACCGTCGTGAAATCGATCGACATCTATTTGGGTGTCAAACTATGACGGCTTTTCACCGTCGTTGTTTATCTGTAATGATGACGGTTTTTAAAGAAAATCGTCGTTGTTTAGAGATAAAGATCATTAATTATAGGAGAAAAGACAACTATTTTTAATAAAACCGTCGTGTATTGTATGTAAAGAGGACGATTTTTTATGAAAACCGTCGTGGATTGTTTATAAAGACGACGGTTGTTTTATAAAAACCGTCATCTTTATATATAATAGACGACGGTTTTTTATAAAAATCGTCATCTTTACATATAATAGACAACGGTTTTTTATAAAAAGCGTCATCTTTACATATAATAGACGATGGTTTTTTTATAAAATCGTCATCTTTACATATAATAGATGACGGTTTTTATAAAAAGCGTCATCTTTACTTCATAATAGATGATGATTTTTATAAAACGCGTCATCTTTACATATAATAGACGACGGTTTTTTATTTATAAAAAACGTCATTTTTACATATAATAGACGACGGTTTTTTTATAAAAAGCATCATCTTTACATATAATAGACAACGGTTTTATAAAAGCGTCATCTTTACATATAATAGACGACGGTTTTTTATTTATAAAAAGCATCATTTTTACATATAATAGACGACGGTTTTATAAAAAAGTCATCTTTACATATAATAGACGACCCTTTTTTATAAAAATCGTCGTTAATTATCTGTAAAGACCATGATTTATTATAAAAACCGTCATTTAATAAGTTTCCAAACTGCTACATTTTAGTTCTTTTTTATTTCCTATGATGCTATACAACGATTTTAACTAGAAAACCAACCATAATGCTTTATTAATGAATATATACACTCAAAAATAGTTTCTTTCATAAATAGTTTATTACATAGTTAACTAATCTTTATTCTACAACAAACATAATTCCTAACAAGACCTACATACTCCTAATCCAAGCATTCCTCATCCAAACATACAAATGATGCACAACTGAAGTCTCCTCCATCATCCCTGTAAATAAATCAAAATGACAAAGAGAGAGAAAAAAAAAGCTAAGATTATAAACATAAAAAATTAGGTGGAAGAGAAATTTTACCATTGGTCCATATTTCCATAGAAAACTTGTAAAATGAGCATAAAAAAGACCATCGAGAACCTGCAAATTTTCAACAACAAAAAAACATACGACTCACATAGAAAACCTGCAAAAGAAAAATTTATAAATATGCAAGCTTCCTCCTCATCTCCTGATAACCAAATCAGAAAATCTAAAAAGAAACTAGAAATATAAAAAAATATGTAAACAAACCAGACAAATCAAGAGAGACAAAATCTGAAATTAGGGAGACAAAGAACATACCAGAAACGCAAAGAGACTAATCTAGAATTCACTAGCAAGATATAGAAGGGTATTAAGAGATTAGGTGACTTTCAAATCAAACCTTTCAACCAGCTTTGATTCTCAAATACAGAACATCCCTCTACATCTTATGGATCTGCGAAGACCTCAATCTCTCAACTCCTTCATTGATATCGATTTTTTGATGATTTTGTAGAGAGTTTCATGAGGGTGTTTTAGAGAGTGCAGGAGGGTTTCAAGGAGGGAGAGATAAGGTTTTCAGAGACGGGGGAAAATCTGAAAATTTGTCGAGCGCGAATTCACTTAAGTAGCCTTTTTTTAGCGTGTTTTAAAAGACGACGCTTGTTAATGAGAGATAAGGTTTTCAAAGACGGGTGAAAATTTGAAAATTTGTCGAGCGCGAATTCACTTAAGCGCCCATTTTTTAGCGTGTTTTAAAAGACGACGCTTTTTTAAAAAAAAATTGTCATCTTTACACATAATAGACGACGGTTTTTATAAAAGTGTCATACTTTCATATAATAGACGACGGTTTTTTATAAACAGCGTCATCTTTACATATAATAGACAACGGTTGTTTTATAAAAAAACGTCATCTTTACATATAATAGACGACGGTTTTATAAAAAGCGTCATCTTTACATATAATAGATGACGGTTTGTATAAAAATCGTTATCTTTACATATAATAGACAACGGTTTTTATAAAAAACGTCACCTTTACATAATAGACGACGGTTTTTTATATATAAAAAGCATCATCTTTATTTCATAATAGACGACCTTTTTTTAAACAAACCATCATCTTTACATATAATAAACGACACTAGTGGATACCACAAAATCTTATGTTATATTTAACGAAAGTATAAATAAACTCTTAATTGTTAGTGAATATATTGTTTTGATGGCATACGCATTTTAAGAAACTAGTTTCAACGATCCAACCGTCAAACTTGTTTGTTTATACTTCGAGATCATATACACCAAAAATCGGAAAAAATAAACATTCAGAGATCAAGTAACGAGACAAAAAATTTCGAAGGTTATAAATGAAAAATCATGATTTAACGGTTATTTTAACTCCGATTTTGATGATTTTTTACCCCTACACTCCTTGACCCTATATGAATACAATGATTAAATTTGATCTTCAATTTAAAATATTTACACTAGTGGATACCACAAAATCTTATGTTATATTTAACGAAAGTATAAATAAACTCTTAATTGTTAGTGAATATATTGTTTTGATGGCATACGCATTCTAAGAAACTAGTTTTAATGATCCAACCGTCAAACTTGTTTGTTTATACTTCGAGATCATATACGCCAAAAATCAGAAAAAATAAACATTCAGAGATCAAGTAACAGGACAAAAAATTTCGACGTTTACAAATGAAAAATCATGATTTAACGGTTATTTTAACTCTGATTTTGATGATTTTTTACCGCTACACTCCTTGACCCTATATGAATACAATGATTGAATTTGATCTTCAATTTAAAATATTTACACTAGTGGATACCACAAAATCTTATGTTATATTTAACGAAAGTATAAATAAACTCTTAATTGTTAGTGAATATATTTTTTTGATGGCATACACATTTTAAGAAACTAGTTTCAACGATCCAACTGTCAAACTTGTTTGTTTATACTTCGAGATCATATACGCCAAAAATCGGAAAAAATAAACATTCAGAGATCAAGTAACGTGACAAAAACTTTTCGACGGTTATAAATGAAAAATCATGATTTAACGGTTATTTTAACTCCAATTTTGATGATTTTTTACCAC